CAGCCCAACCATTGGAAGAGACAGAGGAAAGAAGATTCCTTTAATAATTGTCAACAGTTTTTTCATTCTTCAGGAATGTTTTTGCATTGGAAGAAACTGGCCCCCAGAATGAGGAGAGTATCAAAAAGGGGAAGGAGCGCATAAAGCATCAAACAACAATCAATTAAAGGCAAACTCAATCATAATGGATTGACATCAGTCGGCAGTGTAGCTCTCCCTGTAATGTATTGACATCAGGCTACCAAAGCTAATGCCTATGAAACATCCAAGGACAGCCCAAACTAAAAACATACAACGTATGTTGATTTCCCATTTAAGCATACAAAATTTACAAACATATAATTACAAAGGATACATGCATAAATACATACGTACATATCTCTATAACTTGGGTGAGAGCCTCTGCCAAATTCACGAACTGGTCCTCCAACTAGGGGAGGGGACAACTAATTTGCAGCAACCAAGGGCTTCGATAAGAATATCAATATAATACAGTCCTACTGATTACCATGCTCAAGGCAAATTGTGTAGAGAGAGAAAGCATTCGAAAGTTAAAAGAGAGCAGCTAAACTCTTAAATTACTCTAGATTCAAGTGTAAAAAAAAATTAATATACACTATGAACCAAGTTCAAACTGTTCCTAATTTCTATTTATGCCTCGCAAAACAAAGGATCCGCCCAAAAGGTTCATAAGAAAAAGGGGAGAAAACTTCTATATATATGACTGGAGACAGGTGTGAAGTGGTACACTCCCATTTACATGAGCTTCGCCCTTGAAAAATCCATCTCAGGATGCTGCAACAAACCAACAAAAACATTGACCAAATTTCGTCAGCTGAAGCTGCATATGGGGATTAACAAAGCAGGTAGGGAAGGACAGCAATGTATATGTGCTTTTTTTTGTCATGTACGCAGTTGGGTGAACAAATTTCTGAAGACAATAGTTACCTCGGACATGAATTTCTTTAGAATTTCCTGCTTCTGAAACTCATCACTGGTTGGAAGGCCCATGTCCTTCTGTCTCTGGTCAAACTGGACAAGAGCACCAGTTGACAAGTACCAATTATGATGAATCCAAAGTTCACAAAACAAGAAGGATAGAATTTAAATATAAAAGGCTAATACTAATGAGACTAGCAAACTATCTCAGACAACCATTAGTAAAATTACAGTTGGAACTAAAACAAAAACAAAAAACCTAGGTAATTTGACATGATCTTAGATAGAAACTAGGGAGAAGCAAAATATAATGTAAAAGGCAGAACTAATTACCATCATCTTCTCTAAAGTTTGTCTTGTTTCTGGATCCAAGTCAGATAGTTTGCTGTTCTCCGGTTACACTTTTTGAGTGTAAATTTCAGGATCTCCTTTTACCAATGATTTCCACCACTCCATTTGGTTGTGCTTAGTCAAAAGGATTGAGAGTGAACAATTATCCTCTACAAGAAGTGTGGGAAGATTTTTATATTGCCAATTAATGAGAATGTTTGCAGAATTGAACATTATTGTTCATTTCCACAAAAATATATTAATAAATGGAATTTGAAGATCACAATTGCAATGGGTACATTCGAGATCAAGAAAATAAAAAGGAGAAAGTTACACATTTGCAAGACTGAAATGTAATGTAAAATTTAACCAAAATATTAGCTTCTTTTCCCTTGACAAAAAAGAGAAGAAAGATTCAAAAGCATTTTCGCATAGTGTTCAAGTGATTTGCATAGGATGAAATACCATAAACTAGGAGAGAAGATAAGAACCAATTTCAATCAAAACTATAACATTGATTTCAGATATGACAAAAGATTTACTAAGATGGATTTTAAATAAATTAGTTTTTATCACTTAAATGCAAATAAAAATTGATCAACAAAATTTGTAGGTAACAATAAATATTTATCTTAATGACAGTTATGCAAATTCTGTTCATAAAGAAAACGTATTAATCCTAATGCCACTTTCAAATATACTGCAAGGTCCAAATCTTTAATTAATTCACAGCTTTTATTTAAAAATTTAAACTGTGCACACCCAACATTGTTAATATACTTGCAATAACCTAATAATTACAAACTTGTAAACTCTAGCTGAAGGGGGAAAGGAAAAGTTGAAAGTGATGCTTGATTTTCAGTATTTGTCCCTTATTTTCGAGGTAACATACCTGTGCTCCAGTAACAATCATCAGGTTTGACAGATTAGAAAAGTTCCCCCTGCAAATAAAAAGAAATATGTTCTTAGGATGTAAACCAACTAGGACCTATTTGAAGAGAATATGGACTAACTTACATCAATAACAGAAGGCTGGCCCTTGAGTCCAACTTTTAGATGGTTCTTTTTTATCTCAACCCAATTGTTTATGCAATTATAACTGCCCCAGCTCACTGACCAATAAAAACTTTCACATGCATCTAACAGTACCAAAGTCGAAATCTTCCATGCAAAACTTAATCAAATGTTAACCCCAACTCGTATGCAACTATAAACCCCCCAACCCTCTAACCAATTAAAAGAAGACACGCACACAACCAAAAGTAAAGAAAGTCCTCTTTCTTACAAGCATTCCAACAGGGTGTATGTCTTTTTGTAGCCAACTGATGGAATTAACAGACACAACAACATATAATAAAATCATACCATTTAGGACTACCATTAGCTCCAATCGTGAGAATGCACATTTAAATTGGCTAACACACCAACACAAAGATGAAGCAGAGAGAGAAAACCATGTAATTCAACATATAAGAAACAATTTGCAGAATCTAACACCATGTAAAACATCAAAGACCAGAAGAATTTACACAAAGTTCAACATTAGTTCGGTGAGTGATTGAACCAAGTATAACATCGGTTCCTCACCTCCCTCAATTTCTAAACATTGTTGTTAATTAAAATCTTTTACTACCACATTTCTAAAAGTTGTCAAGCTCAGGGCAAGGAAATCAAACCCAACTTACACCAAGAGTATCATTAAGCTTACTCAATCAAACATCCCTGCTTCTGCTGAAATCCAAAACATATAGGGGCAAAAGAATTCTGCCCAACATATTTCCATGTGTTCTCCAGATAACAAAACAAGCAGCTAAAAAGGCCTCACACAAGGGACAACTACTAACTTCAGTTTTAGTAAAAGAGATTCACGTATAATACCATTATAATTTATGACACAAATAGCGGAACAGGAGGACCAGCATTGCATCATTAGGGGTGCAATTTGAGCTGAGCCAAACCCATAGTCAGACGGTACAAAGCTCAAGCTTGACTATGTAACTCAATTCTTGAAACTTGCTCAAGCTTGCTTAACATAGGGTTTTCCCTTCCATAAACAAAATAAAAGAGCCTCAACTCAAGTTCAGGACAGCAAAAAGCAAGTTGTTACTTCATTTCGTTCCTCACAACCACAAGCAAACAGTGGTATAAACACAAATTAAAACCCTTGTCTAGCGTTTAAAAACAAATTTTCTTTGCCCTTTATCCTTGGATTTGGAACAAATTTGTTCCTCAGAACCCAAAAATACACATTCTTTAACCTTTAAACCTTTGTTTTTAAACTCCCCCAAATTTATATCCTCACATTTTCCATCATTTAAAGTTTAAAATACAAGGAAGCAAACATTTAGCATTGCATACCTCAGATTATTATTTTACCTTTTAAAAAAAGCCTCAAATTTCCTTTTTGTCCCCAACTTTTCATCAGTTAGCCTTGCATGCATTAGAATTACAACAACAACAACAATAATAGTAATAAGAAAATTAAAAGAAATTCAGAAATATGAACCTTTCAAGCCAGAGGTAGTCATTTCCTCCTTCCTATCCTCGTTTTTATCGACCTCCATTGGCTCCCTCTTCACTTCTTTCTTGATCTCCTTCTCTTCCTTCTTTATCTCCACCTTCGAAGCCACCTCTTCAATCTTCTTCTTGCTCTTCTCCTTCACAACTCTTACAACCGCCGCGATCTCCTTATCGACGTTCTCTTTCCCAAGAAAATCACTTTCTTCTGCCAGAAAATCGAAAACCTTCGCCAAAAAACCAACTGGGTCAATCCAAGCTCGCGTTAAACGTCACGGCTTTACGAGGGGGCGATGAAGAAGTCGAGGGTTTTGCCTCTTCTTCTAGGAACTCGGAGATTATTGCCATGACTAAAAAAAAACAGAGTATGTTAATTTTTGGTTGGCAGTTGGAGTGTCGTCAGGGCTCATGTACGGACGGGAGTTCCAAGATTTCAACGAGAGTTCCAGAACATTTCTTTTCAAAGTTTCGGCTTTTCTGTTTTTTTTTTTTCATTTTCTATTGTATTTGCTGAATCGTCTCTCGTTTCATCGTTTATTACTAAAATGATATAATCATTTTTCACTAATTTCACATGCCTTGCTTAACATAAACAACCAAAATAAACTGGGTTTGAATGGGGAGTGATGGCGCGTGCCTTTTAAGGCCTCAATCAATGAATGTTCACCTAGTGGTTGAGAAAAGTCAGACAAGCTAAGGTTTCATATTTAATGGAAATTTAAATATTTTATTTGAACGTGACGGAAAAAGATATTATATTATGAATATAAACACGAAAATAAGGTTGAAAATAAAAATAGAAATGAGTAATATAATATTTGTTTCTTATATATATTGTATATATTTAATAGATAAAATTTTTATTAAATAATATAAATTATTATTTTAAATTAATTAAAATTAATATATTTTTATTAAAAATATATATTAATATTATTTATAAAAAATTATTTAAATATATAAGATAAAAAAATTAAAAAAATTATAGTTTATAATTTTTTAAAAAAATTTATAAGAACAAAAATTACGTATACTCATTAAATATTTATAAAAATTAAGATAAAAATAAATTTAAAATATTCATTAAATATAAGTATGATGATAGATATAATATAAAAATTTAAAAATAAAAATAAAAATTGCTATTGCCATGCGATCCTCGTTCATATTTCTTCAAATTATCATAATCAAATGCAATCTGCCACACATAATCTCTGAGGCATGCCGTGATTAAAATATATAGTAATAGAATTGACATTCTATTTTATGCATTATTCATTCGATAACTTTTTTCTACGAAAACAATTGACCCGAGTTTTGTTCACTCAACATCTATGAACTAAATAAAAGAATTATAAAAACAAAGCAAGTTTTTATAGGCAGCCCATGCTCCCTCTCATCAACTATTTTATTTGTGAAACAAAATGAATGAAATAAATAATTATTCAGTCTCCAATAAAGACGATGTTAGAAAGTTTAGGAGAGAAATTTTGAAGTAATTCCCCCCCACCTAATCAAGCAGATGCATCCTTAGCATGCACTGTTGTTTGTTAAGACAGCGTGCTTGAAGATTTTGAGCGATTCTTCTAAATCATCACAAAGAAGGTGAGGGTCAGGAATCACGTTTGGGTCAACTGCTGCAACAATGCTCATCTTATTAATGTAGCTCTGGAAATGAAGCGTCAAAGCCTGCAACAAAGAAATGGAAAAAACAAACAGGAACAAAGGATTTAATAATTTCAGCTTTTTTTTTGACAAAGTATCAAAGTTTGTAGAGGATTATATACACACCTGTGGTTGGCCATAAACAGTAGGAGCAATGAAAGCTATTGGATGACCAAAAAAGCTAATTTCTTCTACTGGTCCAGCCAAATTTGAAATCGACATTGTAGTGTTGAAAGTAATTCTATATGCCAAAACTCCCGACAGCTGCATTCAATGGAGATTATATTTACATAACATTCAGGCCTTTAATTACTTTCTATCTATGGTTGGATATGCAAGTAAGAGAAGAGATCATTGAGCTTGAGAAAATGGACCTTGGATCCAAATAACTTTGTTGTGTATTTGCTTGCTAAGTATGTAAATATAGCTTCAAGAGAGAGCTTTTTCCGATCTGCTGTAGCTTTAGCTCCTCGAAGATAATCTAAAGGATGATCATTTTGTAAAGCAATGGTGATAGGGATCAATATGAATCCGATTTTATTACCCCACTTGGCCTTGGACTTCTTGTTCATCATATCAGCCAAAGCCTGTCCGTGGAAAAGCATTAGAATATATAGAAGAAGAAGAAAATTCCCATAGTGTTTAATTGCTTAAATCAATATTGTAGAAAGATAACATTACTGTAAAAGAACTGTAATCATCACCTGGATCCCTGCAGATTGTCTAATGTTCACCAAAACAGTTGCCCTTAGACGGATGTTTCTGGGCAGTTGATTCGACTTCTGCTTCGCTCCCTTGCCTCTGTCCACTTCACCTGCCAAGTATAATCAAGTAAAAAAAAAAAAATCCTTTCATTGAATTTGGATTCATTTTGATGATTGATTTAAGTGAGATTGAAGATGACGGTTAAATTTAGTAAAATTAAGTATTATAATGAAAATATTAAAATTAATAATAAAATATATGTTTGGATACAAATATAACAATGATGATAAGATTGGATATGATAATTAATTATTAAAAAAAAATCAGATTGTCATAATTGAAAATTTTTTTCATTTTCATTTTTACATTAGAATAGTCTATTGCAGAAATGTTCAATCTCTCCGATCAAAGATCGGAGAGATTGAACTGTAATGGGATAAAATAACCTTAAATAATATTTAAATCAAATATTATGCAGTGAAAAAAAATCAAATTATCTCTCTCTTGTGTGAATGTAGTAGGAATCAAACAAATAGAGTTAACAAATAAATCATCAAACCATAAGCACAAGGACACAAGCAATTTACGTGAAAAACCTCTCCAAAACTAGGAGTAAAAATCATGTACAGTAACAAATAATCTCTATTATCAAAATAATGAGAATACAAGGTTCTCTCTAACTAGAACTAGAAGTATACAACTACAGTATCTCAAGATTAAACGATCTTGGTAAAGAAACAATCTTACAAGAAAAAATTGGAGAAATCTTAGTAAATTTAGGGATTAACAAATACCCATGAAATTAGTAGATAAAAAACTCAAAACTCAATCTTCACTGTTCAGATTGAAGAACAATGAGTCCTAAACATATTATTAAAATTTTAGTTCAATCGAATAATGGATTAACCTTGATCAAACTATTTGATCGGAACTACATAAAATTTTCTTTTTTCCCTTTTTTCTCTATTTTGCTGCCACATTCTCTTGTTTCTTTTTTCAGCCATATAGAGGTTTAAAACTTTATAACCAAGCATGAAAGGACTAAAAAATCCATGGTAAATGGGCTTTAATTTTAAGCCACAGCTACATCAAGGAAACTAAGCCCAATAAATCTCCCCATTTCCAACTATGTGGATGGAATCCCCATTTCGGTAATCAAATGACAAACTTTAAGTTTCTCTCTTAGTAGTGTTTTTGTTAACATATCAGAACCATTGTGATTGGAGTGAATCTTCTCAAGTTCAAACAAGATATCATTAAAAGTATCTCTTAACCAATGGTACCTTATAACAATGTGCTTTGATCTTGAATGAAAAGTAAAATTCTTATCAAGGTGAATTGTGCTTTGATTGTCACAAAATATCACATAGCTGCTGTTTGAAACCAAGTTCCTGTATGAATTTTTTCATCCACAACAACTCTTTATATGCTTTAATGGCTGCAACATACTTAGCCTCTATTGTAGAAAGTGCAACGCATTTCTGTAGTCTCAATTGCCAAGATACAGCCCCACCTGAGAATATAATCAAATAACCCGAAATAGACTTTCGGGAATCAACATCTTCTGCCATATCTAAATCAGTGTAGCCAACTAGCACTAGTTTTTCATTTTCAAATGTGAGTCTCAAGTTGAAAGTGCCTTAGAGATATCTTATGATTCACTTAACTGCATTCTAATGCTCTCTTCCTATATTTGATAAAAAGCAATTAACAATACAAACTGCATAGGCTATGTCTAGCCTAGTATACACTATTGCATATATCAAACTTTCTACTGCTGAAGCATATGAAACTCTTCTAATGTCTTTTTTCTCTTTAGCTGTAGAAGGGCTCTGATTAATACTTAGTTTAAAGTGTGTAGTAAGAGGAAAGCTAACTATTTTAGCTTGATCCATATTGAACCTTTCAAACACCTTTTCAATATGGTACTTTTATGATACGTATAATTTCTTGATTGTTCTATCTCGATAAATGTAAATTCTAAAAATTTGCTTGTTAGTCACAAGTTTTTTATAGCAAAAGTTCTACTCAATTGCTTATTTAACTAGTCAATTCTATATCATTTTTACCAACAATCAACATGTCAACAATAGAAAGCAATAATATGATAAAATCATTATTAAAAAATTTTTGCACAAACACATAATGGTCAGAAGTAGTTTTTCGGTAACCTTGCTTACCTATAACTGACTCAAACTTCTTATACCAATATCTCGGTGCTTGCTTCAACCTATAAAGACTTTTCTTCAACTTGTACACTAAATCTTTTTTTTATTATTATGAAACCCTTTAGCTACTCTATGTAAATCTTCTTGTCTAAGTCACTATGGAGAAAAGTAGTTTGGACATCCATCTGCTCAATCTCCAAATCAAGACTAATTGTTAAACCCAGAACTACACGAATAGATGATATCTTAACAATAGGAGAAAAAATTTCATCAAAGTCAATACTTTTTTTTTGATTGAATCCCTTAACAACCAATCTAGCTTTGAAACGTGACTATGAAATGTGCTTTTCTTGCTTCACTCTATATACTTATCTATTTTTCAAAGCTTTTTTTCCCTTAGGTAGCTTTACTAGTTCAAAAGTATTATTCTCATACAAAAACTTCATCTCATCTTGCAAGGCATCAAGCCACTTATTCTTGTGTTCATCTTCTATAGCTTTTGCATAATATTCGAGTTTTTTTCTATCAGTTAGTAGCACATGCTCATCAACAGAATACCGTATGGAAGGCTATTGATCTCTAGTAGACCTCTTAAGTGAAACTTTTGGTAAAACCTCCGGTTGAACCTTTGATACTGGTGACTGTTCATAGGTATCATCGCCCACCTCAACTTATGTAAAACTGGTATCAACATCATATATGTTATATTGGTTATCCTCAACATCTTCAACCTCTGTAAGCATATGTATTAGAGGAACTAAATCCAAGTCAATCAAACCATCACTGTATCGTGAACTGATGTATCAGTTTTTTGAATATCTTGTATAATCTGGTCTTTAACAAAAATAACATTCCTATTTCTCACAAGTTTTTTTTGTATTGGATCATAAAACTTGTAGCCAAACTATCCTAGCTATAACCAAGGAACACACCCTATCTAGTCTTGATATCAAGCTTGGACCTCTTATCTTTGCAAATATGCACAAAAACCTTACATTCAAAGTTACACAAGTGATCATAAGATATATCTTTGCCTGATCAAACTCTATCTGAAACATCTAAATCTAGAGGAACACATGGTGAGAGATTCAAAACATGTACAATTGTACTTAAAGCTTCACCCTAAAAAGATTTTGATAATTATGCTTGTGAAAGCAAACATCTCACTCTTTCTATTAGTGTCCTGTTTATCCTCTTAGGTAACCCATTCAACTGAGGAATTTTAGGAGGTGACCTTTGATGTCTAGTACCCTGTTGTCTATAATACTCATCACAAGATCCAGTGTACTCACCCCCTTTATTGTCTTTATGCATTTCAATTTTAATCTTGTTTGTCTTTCAACTAAAGCATGAAATTGTTTAAATATATCTAACATTTGCTCTTTTGATTTCAAGATATAAGCCCATATTTTTCTTGAATGATCATATGTAAAAGTCATAAAATAGATGGAACCATTAAGTGTTTTTGTTCTCATAGGATCATAAACACTAGATTATACTAAATCAAATATACTTGACTTTTTTGATAGAATGGATGTCTTGAATACAACTTTGATTTATTTTTTTGCCAAACAATGATCACATTTTTTTAAGGATACATTTTTCACTCCAAAAAAAAATATTTTTCTTGGCCAAAACCTTTAAACCCTTCTCACTCATATAACTAAGTCGCTTGTACCAAAACTCAGTTGTATCATCATTATCTATTGCATTGATAATGAAATTAGATACATTTACCTGTATCAAATACATTGAGGAGTACTTCATACCTCTAGCTGTAACTATAAAACCTTTAGTGAGCTTTCACTGACCATCATAAAAAGTATTGCAAAACCCTTCATCATCAAGCTTATTTGTAGAAATCAAATTCATGTGAATTCTAAGAATATGTTTAACATTTTTCAAGACCAATATAATGCCATTATTGGTCTTCAAGAACATATATTTCATACCAATGGCTTTAGCTGAGCCATCATTATTCATTCTAGTACTCCCAAAATCATCAGATGTGTAAGATGCAAAATAGTTTTTCTAAGATGTAACATGAATTGTTGCACTAGTATTAATCACCAAACTAGTCTCATGGCGTGCAAGGTTAACAACATCATCATCATATAAAATAAGAAAGTCATTTGTGATAATAACACTTTAGTAGCATCATTACCATCATCATTCTTTTTTCCTTATCTTTGTTATCATTGTTGTCTTCTTTCAACTTTCATCAATATTTTCTTATATGCACTTTCATACCATAACAATGACATTTAACATTGACAAATCTGTTGAACTTACTCTTGCTTTTATCTTTATTTTTTGGATCATTACTTTTATTTTTTCCCTATTTTCTGTGACTAAGATCTTAGACTGTGAAGAGAAACCCTATGACTTTCTTCTTATATCTTTATTTAAAACATCACTCTTAGCCAAATCCATAGTAATAATATCATTTAGGGCTAAGTTAGATAACATTATTTTAAATTTCTCCTAGGAGTCCAACAATGTACCAAAAAGCCATAAGCCATGTATCTCATCTTCTAACCACACACCTATTAATGAAATAAATTACATTCCATATTTGTTTTATTTTTAGGTTTTTCAGTGGTAAACACAAGCAAATAATAGTATTTCACATAAAATAGGTATTTTATCTTTTTTTTTCACACATGGTAATTTGAATCATTCAAATTAATCATTCTATTTGTATTAACTTCCATTATTCAACATAAAATACAAATTAAATAGCCTGAGCTTTGATACCACTTTGATGGGATAAAATAACTTCAAATAATATTCAAACCAAATATGTCATGTAGCGAAAAAAATCAAATTATCCTTTTGTTGTGTGAATCTAGTAGGAATGAAACAAATAGACCTAACAAATAAATCACCAAACTACGAGCACAAGGACACAAGCAATTTTACGTGAAAAACCTTCTTAAAACAATGAGTAAAAAATCACAGACAACAACAAATAATCTCTACTATTAAAATAATGAGAATACAAAGTTTTCTCTAACTAAAACTAGAGGTATACAACCACAATATCTTAAGATTAAACAATCTTGGTAACCAAACAATCTTGTAAGAGAAAATTAGAAAAATCTAAACAAATTTAGGGATTAACAAATACTCACAAATTAATAGGTAGAAAACTTGAAACCTAATCTTCACTATTCAAACTGAAAAACAATGAGTCCTAAACACATTGATAAATTTTTAACTCAATCGGACAACGGATTAACTTTGATCAAACTATTTGACCGAAACTACACAAAACCTTATTTTCTCCTTTTTCTATCTATTTTGTTGCCACACTCTCTTGGTTTTTTTTTTTTTTTAGCCATATAAGGATTTAAAATCTTATAACCAAACATGAAAGGACTAAAAAGTCTCTGGTAAATGGGCTTTAGTTTTAGGCCATCTTCACTTGGAAGAAACTAAGCCCAACAAATTGTTTCACAAAATGTTATCCAAATTAACCCTATGGTGCAGTTGAACAAAAAAAGCTTATATTGCATCACACCGTAATTGTGATGTAATCTAATATATATATATATATATATATATATATATTATAATAGCATATATAAACAAGTTTATCACATGGGCACCTATGTAGATAATTCTCTTAAATGACACATAAGATAATTTTTTAAAATAATAAGATAGTTTCTTTTAATTATAAATTAAATAATTTTAAATTTATTTAAATATCAAAATTATTCAAATTATAATTAAAAATCAAATCAATTTAGAGATATAGTTTCTAAAATATGAAATATGAAATATGGATTTTATTTTTTTAATAAGTAATTTTAGTTGTTTATCAAATAATTGTATTTAAAAAATTATTTAATTATCAAAATCTTTCAAATATGTTTAAAAATTACAAAGATTAAGTTTATTTAAATCTTTCAATAATCTTTTTTATCTTGATTTAAAAAATTATCTTTTAAAAAATTTACGTAAAACATTAAAAATTCAAGCAATTTTATATAAGATTTTGAAAATTCAAAAAATTTTCATTTTAAATTTTTAAATAATAAGACTATCAAAATGATTATATCCATTTGAACTCTAATTATCAAATTTATATTTCAAATAAATGCAAAAAATTTAATATTATCTTTATCACTTATTATATCTATTTTAAATTTTAAAAAATTAATTTTAAAAATTATCTATTTAATCCTAATTGCGACTAAAGAATTTTTTTACAAATTTAAGACTACAAATGTTATGTATTATACATCAAATTTTTTTATTTTTTTAGTAACTTTTTTTCAAGTTATATTCTATTACTATTGTAATTTTTTTTTATAATTTTTTTCAAGATATATTTTATTGTTATTACAATTTCATTCTTATGAAAAATAATAATTTTTTAATTTATTTATTTTTTCACATATTTTCTAACATTTTTCATATTTTACATAATAATTTAGTCAAGATTACTAAAGTGAAAGTATTTTAATATTTCTTTTGTTATTTAATTTATCATTCAATAATATATATTTTTATTTTTTTAAGAAAAGCATAGTTTATTTTTATTTGATATAATCTTATAGGTGTATAAATATAATTTTTTTAAAAATCCAAAGGAAAGACATAATTTTTTTCATACTATTTTTAAAAAAATTATTTTTTAATGACAAATTAATATATATAAATTTTATAAATGCTATGAGTTTTAATGATTTGAATATAATTTGAAAAAAAATTAATTTGTATATATATATATATAATTTTGAAAAGAAATTAATTTGTATATATATATACATATTTATATTAAATAAATAAAAATATTTCGTGAATCCCATCAATTAGTAAAAAATAATCCTTTAACTGTCCAGAAAAAAACTAAATGCTAGAATTAAACTCCATATACAACTTTTCATCATCTGCATTTCTGAAATATATATATAAAAACTCACCGTATTTTCGATTTAGATATCGTGAGAGACCAGCCTGTGTTACTCCCAAAATGACATCATTGACAGTCTAGTAAAATAATTAGTGAAAAACAAATGGGGAGTTAAGGCTATGAACTTCAAAGGAAAAAAAAACTAAATTACTTACTAATTAATTAATTAAGAAGTAATGGGTGAAATGTACCAATTACCATGCCCATCGCAGCCTTGACTAGTTTTATATCATCCAAACTCACAGTCCGGTAGACAATCCTCTTGGGGTTATGCTCGACGCCAGATGAACCCTTAAGAGGAGTCTTCGTGTCTTTCAAAAATATACATGTTGCCACAAAATGCAAAACGTCCACAATGGTGTTGAAAAGTAACTTTAACACTGACCAAACAGCCGAGAATAACCACAAAAAACGACGTGGGTTTCTTGAATGATCTGTCTGTTTTTGCTTAGGAAGAGTAGGCAAGGCTTCCGGGTCGGAGGACTTTCGGCAACAGGCAAATAGAAGAGATATGAGGGACATGCCATCTCCGATTGAATGGTGGATCCGCCAGATGCCAACAGCTTCTGCCTCCCGGGTTTTGAGATTAAGAAGGTGAAGCTCCCACAATGGTTTGGAGAGGTCAAGTGGAATTGTGGTGAGATTGGAGACGTAGTCCTCAATAAATTGGCTTGTAGATTCCATTTCTGTGTCTACCTCTGGGACTGTAACATGTTTGTCCAAATTTACTTGTGTCTGAATCCATTTCTTCTTACCTCCATTAATCACCTATATATGAACATTGTTTTTCAAGAACATATAATAATATATTGTATTGAAACTCGAAAGATATATTTACCAATTCATCGCAAACCAAAATTTAAGGAGTGTCCATGGACACCTTACTTGTATATATGCATCCTACTAGTACATGTGCATCCTCCCTGGAAGTTTTCATCTCTAAACTTGATTAATTTTCTATACGAGTTCTTCGTTTTCATGGAGTAGTTTTATAACCAAACATATGACGCGCAACTAATTTTTTTAATAATTTTTTATTCGAAAACCGAAAGTAAGTAAATGAAAGACACCGGAGTTTCTAGTGATAAATAGTAATTAATTTATATGATTTTTGTTACCAGTTTGCTGGAGAAACGAGGATGCTTAACCAGGTTACGGTATAGTCCCTCTTTGACGAGCCCAGGATCAAGCTTCTTCTTGCATCCCACCATCGCTATAATGCAGCAGTTAGTTCCTGGTTCAAGAAATAGGAGGGAAGCAGGACTCAAGGGCGCCCCTTCATCCTTCCGTGCTGATGCCTTGTCGACTGCACCTATCTTGGCTTCTTCTACTTCTTCAGAATTTACTGTTATTTCTATTGCATCCATTGATATAAGACCTTTGGCTAAAGAGCTTTGGCTTTGCAACATAAAATGAAAATAGGCGGTTGACTAAACTGATCTTATACAGATATCAGAATCAGCCGCCAGTCAACGTTAGAATTTTGAATATCAAACGAAATTATTAAAAATTATGTGTGGGTTGGTTTAAGATGGGCAGCTCTGGGGATTTCAATTTTTTTCATTATACAAAGCTAAAGGCTTATGTGGGGTAAAAGAATTTATGCGAAGTTATTTAAGTGAAAATTTTAAAGTTTTTTAATAAAACTAAAACATCGGTTAAAATTTAGTCAGTATATTATTTACTTAACATTTATTTACTACCGTTAAATCCTCAAACACTCTTCATCTTCTTTTTTTTCACTTAGCCTTTATCGCATAAATAAGCCCTGCACCAAAAGCAAAAGTTCTCCTTTGTAAGCAAAATTCCTCTTAGCAAAACTTATAACTGACTGAAGAAGGGAAAAACTCCATCATTGTCGGTCAATGACTCTAATAATATCCAACTATAACAAGAGAAGATATTGATGTGTTATTTATCATGCCATGAGATTCTTTGGTTTGGCTTTAGTGATTAAACTAAATTCCTTTGTTTTCCATCTATTTAATGCGTCAATCTTAGTACCATATTTTACTATCCTCGATGAAGTTAGTTTTTGGTTGTAATTGAGGTCTTGACTTTTTTTGCGATGGCAAATGGTAAGGATAGATGTTTTTGCCTTGGTACGATCTTGGGCATTCATTGCAAAAGAGTATCAATTCAAATGAAAAAACAGAACAGAATTCGAAGAACGGGAAATTCAGTTAAGCATTTTATCAAACATTGAGCAGGCAGTGCTCTTAGTACATACAAACAAACCTTTGGGTACTCGGGAAAAACTCCCTGCAACACTTAACACAATAATTACAAAGTGTTTTGCACACTACAACCATAGCACAACACGACACACATTTTTTGCTAAGCTAATAAAACATTTAAATACAACCGATTAGAAAAGTAGTCACAGTTAACAACCTATCTACTGACAACGTAAACTAATACCAAATCAGGCTACAGCAGTCGATGATGAAAACCAAGTGGCAGTATACCATGAGAGTCGATGATGACTCTTAACAAGATGAAGATTTTTGCATTTGGTGCAGAGTTTATGGCTAAGATGAGTGAGACGCAGAACACAAAAACACTAGTACAAGAAACAGGGGAAGAAAATGTTTCATTGAAAAAGAGACAGTTTAAGAAACAGGGAAAAGAAGAATCACTAGTATTAGAAATATGGGAAAGACACTCTGTATAAGAAACAGAGTTTATGGCTGACGCTCTTTGTATTTTAAATAAGAGTTTTCTTTTTTTCTTTTTCCTAATAAAAAGAAGAGCGTTTGAGGATTTAAACTTTAACGCGGTGAAAAAAGTTGTTGTGAATAATATGCTAAGTAAGTAATTTTAACAGATATTTTAATTTTATTGAAAAATTCTAAAAACTTTGCTTAAAAAAAATTTCATGCGAGTATTGCTTCTTAGGTGAAGTTGACAAAATTTAAAAAAAATAATTTAATAAAAGTTATAATAAAAAATTTAAATTTATATATTGATAAAGTTAAATTTAATATTAATAATATGTAAAATATTATTATTAAAAATATTATTTATAATTTAAATTTAATCAATATTTATTTAATGATAAAAATTTTATTAATATTTTTATTAAAATTATTTATCCAAAAATATATAAATTTTTTCAAAACTTTTTCAAAATTTTTTAAATTTTATACATTTAATTTATATAATAAATTTTTTAATTTTTTAATTTTTAATTTAATTTTAATTTTAATTTAATTAAATCTAATACAAAATTTCATAGTTTCCTACAAATATTACCCTCCATCGGGGTTTAGGAAATGAATTTTGGGTAGTGATTTAATACCTCTTAGCCAGAAAGCCAGAAATATTTTTCTCCAATACAAACTTGCACGTGGACCCATGATAGTTTGCTACTTCTCCGTGTCCTGTCTGTGCTACTTTTCGATATTTGATCTGTCATTTCGGTGAGTCATTGAAGTTCACTTAATTGATGTTTTTGCTGTTGATTCTTAAACTTTTGTTAAAAATTCAAATGCTAAGACAAAATGACTTCAAATTCCTTACTCCAAGCACAAAGTTACACACGAACCGGTCCGCGTCGGCGGCTAATAACTTCCCCGTCTGGCATGCCCCGTGTCGGCCTGAGTTTTATGATATGAGCTGAAATGGAGTCGGCCGTGGGACCATCCTAACCATAAAAACCCATTTTAGTAGTCATAGAGTAGTCAGCAGTCTTGCTAGGAGTTAACCAAAGTTAGTTATTTTGTAGCGAGTAAATAGTTGAAGGAATTACGATTGTAATGAATATAAAATGATAAAAGTGATAGAGATGTGACAGAAATGAATATTACAGCAGAATTGTCAAACTCTGACTCTCTCTCTTCTTTCTTTGTTATCTCTATTTCCTCTGTCTTCTCTCTTCTTCTTTGTTATTTTTTCTTGCAGAAACTTCAACACTGCATTTCTGATTTTTGTCTGTATACCTTTGGGCTCTAGCGCACCTAAAACCCAAATCAGAAATTGGGATTTTTTTTTCGAATTACCAGTAAACTAGAAAAATGAGAGGCTTAAATATAAAAGAAAACCTTTAATAAAAATTAAATAATTATCTAAACTTTTATGTTTTAGTATAATTAATTGAGTTTTTAAATATTAATTTTTATTTAATTAAAATTTTAATATTTTATTTTCATTAAATTGAGAAAAAAATGACAATTAATCAATTTTTGTTTAATAATGATTTAATTGGTGAAAAATAAATATTTAAAAATATAATTTATTACAATAAAATGATAATGAATTAAATGATTTTTTAATTTTGGTTCAGAAAATTTTTTATATTTATATAAAAAATGAAATAAATTAGTAAAAGTTATATGGATGGGAATATTAGAGAAACTGAATAAATCAATGTAAATGTAAATGATAGTTAAATTTTATTATTATATTTTTCTTCTTAACAAGAGTTTACTTCAACCAAAATTTGATAGGAATTTTATCACCAAGATTAATTTAGAAAATGGAATGCTTTACATATATAAACAAATAAACTGGGTTTGACTGGAGAATGATGGCGCCCGCCCTTTACGACTCAAATGAAAGTTCACCATGTGGTCGAGACAAGTCTCACAAGCTAAGGTTGCCATGCCATCCTCCTTCAGACTTCTTCAAAGCATCATCCATGATCAAATGCCATCTGCCACACAGTCGCTGAGGCATACCGTGATTAAGATAACATAGTAATAGAATTATCATTCTATTAGATTCATTATTCATCTAATAAATTTTTTTCAAGGGAAATTACAATTTAAAAATTAAATAAAAATAGATATTAACATTTGAAAATCACTTTTATTAGTTATCACTTTTTTAAGAAGAACTAATAAACCTTAAGCCCGAATTTATTCACTCAACAACTTTGAATTACGTAAAAGAGTTTAAAAGAATGCTAAATTATTCGATCTTCAATAAAGAAGATGTTAGAAGTTTAGAAGAAAATTTTTGAACTAATTCCGGGCCGACCAGCTAAAAAGGCAGATGCATCCTTAGCAAGCACCGTCGTTTGTTAAGACAGCTGGCTTGAACATTTTGAGCAATTCTTCTAAATCATCGCAAACAAGATGAGGGTCAGGAATCCCGTTTGGGTCAACTGCTACAACAATGCTCGTCTTATTAATGTAGCTCTGGAAGTGAAATGTCCAAGCCTGCAACAAAAAATGGAATAAAAAGAAAGAAGGGAACAAGGGGTTTAATAGTTTCAGCCTTTTTTTTGGACAAAGTTTCAAAATTGGCCAACTAATTTGTAAATTTGTAGAGGATTTACCTGTGGATGGCCATCAACAGTGGGAGCAATAAAAGCTATTGGATGACCAAAAAGGCTAATTTCTTCTACTGGTCCAGCCAAATTTGAAAACGACATTGTAGTGTTGAAAGTAATTCTATATGCCAAAGCTCCCGATGGCTGCATTCAATAGAGATTATATTTGCATGACATTCAGGCCTTTAATTTCTTTCTATCTATGGTTGGATATATAAGTTGAGAAAATGGACTGGATCCAAATAACTTGATTGTGTATTTGCTTGTTAAGTATGTAAATATAGATTCAAGAGATAGCTTTTTCCGATCTGCTGTAGATTTAGCTCCTCGAAGATAATCTAAAGGATGATCATTTTGTAAAGCAATGGGTATAGGGATCAATATGAATCCGATTTTATTACCCCACTTGGCCTTGGACTTCATAGTCATCATATCAGCCAAAGCCTGTCCATGGAAAAGCATTAGAATACAGAAGAATAAGAAAATTCCCATGGTTTTTAATTGCTTAAATCAATATTGTAGAAAGATAAAATTAATGTTTAAGAACTGTAATTATCACCTGGATCCCAGCAGGTCGTCTAATGTTCACCAAAACAGTTGCCTTTAGATGGGAAGTTGATTCGACTTTTGTTTCGCTCCCTTGCCTCTGTCCACTTCACCAAAAGTATAATAAAGTAAAAAAAAAAAAAAATCCTTTACCTGACTTTAGGTTTATTTGGATGAATAATCCATATGTTTCGGTGAAATTAAAAATAATAATGATAATAAAATTAAATAAAATTAAATATTATAACAATGAAATATATGTTTAAATATAAATATAATGTTATAATTGAATATAACACTCAATTGCCACGCCAAAATAATTTGACTATCATAATTAAAATATATCTTGATTTTCAATTTTTACAGAAAACAGCTAAATGTTAAAATGTCCAAAGAGATCAGAAGGATGCCAGGCCAATGCATCGCGAGATGCTATTCAAATGTATCTCACGATACAATTGATCCAAAAATGAACTTAAATTTCATAACATAGAAAGTACGATGGAATCCAGACTCGTCCTTTGACCATCGAGTACTAGAAAAGCTATATGTACAACTATCGTATTTTCATCATCTACATTTTTGAAATATAAAAGGAAAAAAAAACTCACCATATTCTCGATTTAGATATCGTGAGAGACCAGCTTGTGTTACTCCCAAAATGATATCATTGACGGTCTAGTAAAATATTAGTGAAAAAATAAAATCGGGGAATTAATTCTATGAACTTCAAGAAAAAAAAAAACTAAATTACTTACTAATTAATTAATTAAGAAGTAATGGGTGAAATGTACCAATTACCATGCCCATCGCAGCTTTCACTAGTTTTATGTCATCCAAACTCACATTCCGGTGGACAATCCTCTCGGGGTTATGTTCAACGCCAAAGGAACCTTTAAAGCACTACAAGAAAATGAAAGATTAGTGATAATTTTGTAGCGATGTTTCACTTATAAACATCGTTAGCTTTCGTGTTTTTATAAAATTTAAGATGTTTATTATCAAAACGTCACTAAATATTCAAATAATGATGTTATTATTTATAAACATCATCCAAAACTTGATATTAGTGGCATTTATTGACTAAAATACCTTGAATAATCCTATCTTAAAAATTTGAGTGAATGCTAAAGGCGTTTTTGTCAGAAAATAGCTTGAATAATCCAATTAAAAAACTTAATAGGAAATTACTGAAAGCGTTTTTGACAGACAACACTTTGAATAATCATGTATTTGATTATTGAAGATATTTTCTACAAGAAACGCCTTTAATAATTCCACAAAAAAAATTTCACAGGCTTATTGAATGCGTTTTTGGTCAAAAACATTTTCAATAAATATCATATCAAGATTTTAGGATCATACAGATGTTAACCATAAGGTGGTAGATTCGATTCATTCCTTTAATCTTTTTTGGGTTTTTGTAAGGATTATTTGTAATGAATTATTGTAGGCATTTTTGCTTTTTTGGACAAAAACACTTTCACCAATCGATTTAAAAAATCTTGAAGAGAATATTGAAGGCGCTTTTGGCCGAAAGCGTTTTTAATAATCAAATCAATAAATTTTTAGTTTGGATTATTGAAAGCGATTTTGTTAAAAACATCTTCAATAATTCATACAAAAAAGTTGGAATGGATTCTTGAAGGCGTTCTTAGCCCAAAATGTCTTTAATATTCCACACAATAAATTTTTAGGTGAGATTATTGAATGCGGTTTTGGTCAAAAACATATTCAATAACATTTTGTTAAGGATTATTCAAGGCTTTCTCTTGGTGAAAATGCCCTTAATAATCTATAAAAAAATATATGGGATAGATTCTTGAAAGCATTTTTTGCTGAAAGCGCCTTCAATAATCAAATAAATAAATTTTTAGTTGAGATTATTGAAGGTGGTT